ACTGTCCCTGGCCAGGGGCCCACTGAGGCCGTGGACTCATCTTCCCTTCCCTAACCTGCACACTCTCCGGGGCTCTCCATTCGAGCCGTCTCCTGCCCCCGCCGCCCCGAGCCCTCCATCCTGCCATCTTCTGCAGCGCCCCCAAACTGGCTGAGAGCCTCACACCTGGGCTGAGAAGTGCCGGCCTCCCCCCGCCCCGCCGCCGCCTTGGCTCCAGGGGTGTCTAGAACACCGTCTGGTACCTGGAAGTTGGCTGGTCAAGATTTCTGCAATGAATTATGCCGGGTTTCTAGAGTCGGCTTGCTTTTCCTCTCTCGATTTTAAATCTTCGTGCTCCTGAAGCTCTGGGGGCTCTCACCTCCTCCTCACTCTCAGGTGACCTCGCCTCCTGTTTACAGACCATACAGAAACTCTCCTGCTGGAACTGGCTCCCCCACAGGCCCACCTCTTTTCCTCTTGTTACCAAGGAAGACGGACCCAGACTAAGACCAGCCCTCCGCCCGCAGACTCTGAATAACTTTCCCACCTTCCCTTTTGGGAACTCATCCCCCGTGGAGGCTCCTTGTCTCACGTCTCACCGTACTTGTCCTTCAGTAACGACGGACCCCCTCCTAACCCCGCCCCCCTTCCAGCTGCGATCCTTCTCTCCCTCCCAGCCAGACTCCCTCCCCCGCCACCCCCCGCCCCCAGTCTGGCTCCTCCTGGAAGTGCCACCCCACTGCCCTCTCCCAGGTCTCCCCAGGTCGGGGGGAGGGCCCAGGGGCTGTCTGTCCTCCTCCCCCAGGTCCACCTCACCTGCTCCCGGGGCTTTACTCACACCCACACCGAGGCTTCTCACCTCTTGCCCCCCCCCATCCCCACACTAATACAGAACAGGGGGGGTTCAACATGTATTAAAGAAATGCAACCTCACTCCTGTCACTCAGGATAGTGCTGTTCGGGATCTCAGACTGGCCACCCATCTGCAAATTCCTGCCAGCCTCCGCCACGGCAGAGCAGACTCAACTGGGGGGGGTACCCCCAAAAGAGGGAAGTCACAATCTACTGAACTTAGCAGAAGGACTCACGCATCTGACAAGGAGAAAATAGGATCCGGTAAGACAGGCTTTAAAGACCATCACCCAAGTCGTCACAGGAGGCTGCAGGCCGTCCTCTGTCCTCCACATCGAAAGCTTTCCGGCGGTTTCCACGAACACAAACTTAACGCCCTGGGAGGAACGAGCGAGCGGCAGAGGTGCAGTAGGAGGGGGTGGGGACAGCCCTGGCGGGAGGCCCCCTTCCCAACCCTGCCCATCCACACCCCCTGCCCCTTCCCGAGGAATCAAATCCCGCCCTTCCTCTGGGCCTCGTCACTAGCGAATGCAAGCAATGCCCACGCTCTTGACCTCAGGGAGGGAGAAGCTGGAGACCGCGTCACCCTCGCAGGCCCGGGCCGCGCTTGCGGGAACCCCGGGGCTGCCAGAGTGCCACTGGGCTCTGCGGCAAGCAGGATGGGCCGCACGCCAGCGACAGAGCCAGCAGTCCACTCGAGGGACAGAATCACACCAGGGCTCCGGGCAGCGCGCTGCAAGCTAGCTGCCACCAGGTAGTGGATGGGAGTAAGTCATTTCAGAGAGAAAACCTGAGACGGGACGCCAGCTTTGTAGCCTTCCCACGCACGCGCGCTCCAGTCTAGCCTGCACCACCCCGCCGCCTGCCTCGCCGGGCGTCCACGGGGACGTCGGGGCGCCGCAGAGAGGCCATCGGGGGCTGGCAGCTCGCCCGGGGCCACTCGGATGCTGCAGGGCTGGGCAAACTCCGGCTCCCTGACTCCTCTAAGTCAGGCCTACCTCTCCCCTCAACTAGGTTTTGCTGCAGAAACTGGGAGGACAGAGGAGCCACGCCAGCCCCAGACAGGCCAGTTTCGTCCCATTCAGCGAGGGCAGAAACCCAGTGCTCGGGAGTTGCGTACTGTGGGGTTGGAGGACCATGTGGTTTGAGAGGAGCCTCTCCACGAGACAAGGACAGCTTTCCCGTTGTCTTTTTCGACAAAAGGAGCGGCCCTGGAAGCAAATGGAGGCCGGGGTGCAGGCCACGCCACTCACAGATGCTGGAATGCCTCCGAACCTTCGACTTTACAGATTCTACTTGAAATGGAAGCCTTGTGGAGAAAGGCGCCACTTTGATCTTTTCTTCTCAGATACAGCGAACACCGGCCAAATTGTTTTAATTTCCGAATTTATTAAAATGATTAACCTCAATACTGCAAGTGCATGTACAAAATATTTGTAAAAAATGTTTTTAATGAAACGTTAAAGAACTTACCTCAAATGCTGAAAAAGTCCTTTTTTTTTCATTCTTTCAGTACAAGGAATACATTGTATCTCAAAGGTATTACAACTCAGTAAAACAATTTAAGACAGTAATTTGAAAAATGATTGAAAATTGAATACTTTACATGTATTTTTATGATTTCCTAATTCTTACAATGTCAGAATCTTTACGAATCATTGCATAAGCTCAAGCTCTAAGTTGTATGGAACGCAACCTCTTCCAAGTGGTCACCCGCGTATGGCTCTCGCCATTCCACACGGGGAAGTTCTACGGTGGAGCCCGAGCAGCTCCGAGGCCCCTACCTGGAAAAACGGAAATCAGGTTCCCCTGGAAGGCGGCAGCCGCGGCTGCCCAGCGCTTGTGCACCCCGACTCCCGAGGCGGGGACGCCCCTGGGCTCCGCTGCTAGGGCCCATGGGGAAGGTCAGCCTCGAGAAGCCGAGGCCGCAATCAAGTTAACACAAACATAAATAAGTTACTAAAATTAAGCTTAAAAATGGAGAAACGTGGGAAATGTGGTATTTTGTGACTTTTTCCTTAAGATGGAGATTCCTGAAATGGCTGTTGTTGGTATTCCGGGAGACGGTTTGAGATTTAGGCTCTGAGCCTCTTCGACACACCCCACGCTAGGACGGGAGTGAAAGAGGTGGCCCACCACTCTCTGGCACTTTCCACACACCGGGTCTATGCTCGACCTTCCTTAGTGGCACGAGTCTCACACTCCCCCCACGAGGGACAATGTGAGGACTGGACGTGGTCCGCACCGCGCTCCGAGGGCCTCGGGACAGACCCCGGGGGGCTGTCCCGCTCCGTGAAGGGGACAACCACATGCGGAGCCGGGGGCGGGGGGTTGCGGCGCCACACCACTACCTGAGGGGCTGACCTGCACAGGAGACGGGAATGAGGCGACCTTAAGACCACATGAGTAACTCCCTGAAGAACATGAGGAGAAACAAAAACTCTACGTTGCCAACACTTTCATGAATATTCTTAATTTCTATGGGGAACCCCTATTGGCAATCGTTTTATGGGACTCAATTTAAAGGGTGTCCCCAGAACCTGGAAACCGGCAGGAATCACCTGGGAACAACAGTAAGCATTGAGGTTTTCTCCACTGACTGGACTTTTCGTTACGGGCAGATTTCCTTTTACTATCTTAAGACATGGGCTACTTTTCTACAGACACTACACGAATCCCCTAAATCGATTTTACTCAGGAACACTGTATATCTGAAAGGACATGTACACATTTCCCAGAAATAAAGAAACCCACTGGCGTCAAACACCTGCTACAGCTTTATATTCCCAAATTCTTTGTCCAATGATTTTGTAAAATAATCCAGAGAAATGAAAGGTTGGTATTGAATATAAAGTAGTAATCAAAAATTTGCTCATTAAGTTACTTAAAATTAATTTCTCTTCTCAAAGTGCTTCAAAAAAAAACAAACAAATTAAATCTGACTCCTCTTTTCGCTTAACTGATAATATAGTCAAAAAATCTTTGATATTTTCATACATAAACTAACATAAGCCAAGAACTCCCACTGATGCAGTGCTTAAAACTATATATTTTATAATTTCCTATTTTATTGGCATGAATATTTCTAAACTTAAAAACCTTCCTGGTAAGTTCTTTTAATTTCTTATGACAAAAATTTCTCACAACACACAAATATTTACAACATATACATTGTTTTCAGTTCTTTACATTGAATTTCAAAGACAAACATTTTTTATAGGTTACCACAGAACAAAAGCTGTGACTCATGTTTTTATTTCATAAACTATTATAAGTTAAAGTGAATAGAGTTTTTAATATTCCTTGTAGCATTTTACAAGTGCAACAGAAACCTTGAAGACCCAAATTAAGACAGCTGTAGTTCATTAGATAAATGTTGCTTGTTGTCATCACATTGTTCACAGCAAAGTTTTGAAAAAATAAGCACCAATCATTCTTGCAAAGAACAATTTTATCTAAAAGGGTTGAAAAGTGTTAAATACAAGGTCTTTAATTTACATGACAAGCAATAAATACGCTGAATTGGAACTCATCCTGCACACTGCTACCCTCGTACATATAATGTACTGAAAAGTTAGCAGTCACGCGTGTAATTGTATTTTTTTTTTTTTTTTGTAAAGAAACCAATTCGACTCCCAACCGATGGTTTGCTCTTTTAAGCAAGGCCACACACAGTACACCTGGGCCAGCAAACAGTGTGAAACCGACAGAACTCCGAGGGGGAGACATCTAGCAAAGAAATCAAAAAGCCAAAGATCATTGCTGGTGATATTAGCATATACTAGAAAACCTTAATATGCTGCTACTATGATTTGTTTTAAATTATTTTTTAGTCATACATTAAAGAGCCAGTTGATGCTCTTGGTTTAAAAGAAAGAAAGAAAGAAAGAAAGAAAGAAAGAAAGAAAGAAAGAAAGAAAGAAAGAAAGAAAGAAAGAAAGAAAAAGAAAATAAGAAAGAAAGAAAGGAAAAAAGAAAACTGTGTAGCCACATTATTGTTTTCAACGTCCCGTGTGGAAAGTTGCTATCACTGTAAATTTTGCTTGAGCCTTTATTTTACAACAGGGCTTTCCCTCTAACTCGGAATTGCACGTGAGAAGGCTATTTAAAAAGTACAATAAAAATCTGCACAGATCAGACTTGGGGAGAGTCAGTGCGCTGTACACTTTCTACAGTATGACGCTGCCAAGTGGGGAGAGAAGGGGGCGCGGCCGCTAGAACATCTCGGCTGAGGAATAACTGACTGGAATTCGTCTTTATTTCTGTAGAGGAGGGTTCCCCAGGCCCGACCGAGCCCGAGCGCTCACGCGTTGAGCCTCAGAGACTGGTCTTCCCTTCTCCGGGAAGAAATGTCAATGTCTATGGAGTCCTTGCCGACTATGAGCCGCAGGCGCTTGGCTGGGGGCAGAGGGATGAAGTCGTCCTCGAAGTCCTCCTCGTAGTCCTCGTCCGCCGCGTCGGCCTCGGAGGAGGAGGGCTCCTCCGTGCTCCCCGCCTCGTACTGGCCGTAGTCGTCCACCTCCACGCGGGACTCCAGCAGCGAGAGCGGGTCGCCGCAGCACAGCCCGTTCTCGTGGAGCCCCTCCGAGCACGGCCCCCGGCCCTCCTCGTCCCGCTTCAGCTGGATCTTGAGCTTCGTGGAGCTGCTGCCCGACCCTGAGTTAAACCCATTATTGAGCTTTGCTACATACAGATTGTTATCGTTTTCGTGGTCTTTACTTAACTTGATGCTTATTTTTGAAGAATTCGTGCCGTCATTCTCTTGGTCGTTTGTCTTGCTGCTGCTGTCGTGACGCCGACGAAGAGTCAATTTGGGAATCCCAGAGTTATTCTCCAGGATCAGCTGGGCGTCATACCTCGTGATTCGCCTCTTCTTTTTACTTTTTGCAGTTCGGAAGCCGTCTTTTGTTCGGAAGCCGTCGGACGTGACGACCGACCCGCCGCCGCCGCCGCCGCCGCCAACGCCGCCGGGCGAGGGAGCCCAGTCCGCGTAGCTGCCGGGCGCCGGCTCGGGCTCGGGGGCGCGGCGCTCGCCCGGCTCGCAGCGGGACGCCAGCACCTCGGGCGCCACGCCCGCCTGTCCGGGGCACTCCTGCCCCGCGGCGGGCTCCTCGGCTCTCGCCAACTGCCTCACGAGTTTCCCTTGCCGCGACTTCTTCTTCGACGGGCCGCTGTCGCCCCTCTGACACTTGGCTTCCCGCTTTTGTGCCGCCCCGGGAGCCAGGCCGTCCTCCGGCGCCGCGGGAGCCGGCCGCTCGCCGCCGTCGGGGCAAGGTCCCGCCGAGCTGCTCTTAGAGCCGTCCGACGCGCTCGGCTCCTGCGGGCCGTCACAAGGCTCCCTCGGAGTCACCCTCGCCCGCGCCGACCGCCTGGTGGTGTAGGTGCAGGGGGCGCCGTCCCCCGACGGCGGGCCGCGCCCGGAGCCCGCTCGGTGCTCCCGCGCCGCGTGTCTAGTTAAGCACCCGCTAGCTGCTGTGGCTTGAACTGGTCCCTCGGGCTCCTTCTCTTTTTTAATGGGTAAGTTTTTATACAGAACTACTTTGGGCTCTTTGAGTACTAAGCTTCCCATCTCGAGTTTTCTTGAAGCACTCTTTTGCTCCAGCCGCTTGCAATGATTTCTTAGTTTTATCTTGGAAAGTAAAGGCTTTGCAGGCTTTTTCAGTTTCTTTGGTACCCTGGAATTATTTATATGAGTTAGCTTAGATGAGGTAGAGTTGGAAGAAGCTGGAATTCTTGACATAGATTGCCTTGTCAATGTTCTGCTCTTGCTGTTCTTTTTCACACCAACTGAAGATTTTCGGTTAGGAGCTGCAATTAAGGAGAAAAAAAAAAGGGGTGGGGATGAAAACCAGCCTTGGTAACACAGGAGTGCTCAACACAACAATGCCCAAGCCTGTCAGCTATGAAGTGTTCGCATTATACCTGCACGTGCAAGATGGACCCCGTCGGGTCTCGGTCGGCACATGGGCACCCCCACACCACCCTCCTGTAGCTTCCCAACCGCTGCCTCCCATTTATGGAGCATCTATGCGTTTCCCACAGCAAGGACCCGGACTCCACTCTTAGCTCGTCCATAATCTATCGCAATACTTGTCCACAGTATTTCTTTTCCTGAGTCTCTTACCACATAGAAGATTTGAAGTAACCTTGAGGAAAAATCAGATTTTTTTTCCCACAAATTCTTAACATCATCATTCAAAATAGGTTTCTAAAATCCATTACTCATTAAGTCAAAGGAAGTTTATTACTTGACCGGTAATACAGAACAGAAATATATTATTAATGAGCCCTAACAGACACTCTACCACAATGGCTTCAAACAAGCAAGAGAGACCTGAAGAACCGTATATTGTTAATTCCACAACGAACTGCACTCCACAAAGTTCTTGCTCCAACTCCGTGAGGACCAGCAGACTTCCAAGGGCGGCAGAACTTACTTGGCCCCATCCCTCCAGGGACCACCTGCCGCCAACAATCAAACTAAGGCGGGAAGAAGCATGCTGCTGCAGTTACACTCCTGGGACAAAGGGGGACCCAACTTCCTCTGGACAAGCATACAGAAAGGCTACGATGACCCTATGGGCAACAGCCAACCTGAGGACCAACAGGACCGTTGACCAGAGTCTCAAAAGGCTTACGGGTGACTCAACTTTAGGCTGCTTCCACAGTGAGCTTGACCTTACCAGGGGCTTTATGTTGTCTTTATGTTTTTTTCTCTCCATTTACATTTTGGACCTGTATGTAAAGTGCTTTACAGGAATCCATTTCTCAATTACTTATTCCCGGCTCCCACCTGAAAACCTCTTCCCCATCAAACTACCCCTCTTTCAGTCATTCACTGGGAAAGCTGAGATGACCCAACTGATACTCCCCACTTCTCTCAGAAAACAGGGAGAGGAAAAAGCGACTATGGGTAAACCGAGCACACTGCCTAAGACTCTTGCCACCGACATGCCCAAGGGTTGCCAGGGCGACTGCTGTTCCTTCTGCATGGCTAAGCAAGTAAGTTACCATTAGTTAGTTTTTACTGAGAGAGAAGAGCAAGAATGCATTACAAGCATTCCAAAAATATCAAACCACCAAGAACAGAAGGCTCTATACTCAAGAAGGGTGTCTCATAAATGGCTTTGGGGAACCCAAACCAACACAGTTCCCAGGAGTGAGATCTCCTGATCGGACCAAGAATGTGCTTATCCATGTGGGCTACCACCCCAAGGCAGCCACTTATTTTTAGAATAGTAGGAGTCGTGGTTTGGATACCATTCAATTGGAGAACAACTGATGTAGCATGAATTGGAATTATACAGAACTAGCTGGAAATTATTTTTTTAAATACAAGGCTGCACAGGGCATTCTTTTGTTAAAGGATTTCTTTACGCTCACAAGGCTTCCTACAAGGTAGACTGAATAGATGTGCTTGTTGATGTAAATGCACTTGGCTTTCTCAAATGTGGCTGTGAAGTCCTTTGGCTCAGACCAGGCTCCTCGAGGACCATTCTATGACCAAAATCAGTGGTTCTCAGCCTTACTTTGCCTTTTGCCATCCGGTTCTCATTCTGTACCTCCAACTGCCCCTTCACAATGAAAACATACACACCACATGCTGGACAGCAATCCCGCTGCAATTTGGATCCAGCTTGTCCCTCTAATGAGACAGCCTTTGCCAATCTTGGAAGACCTTGTCATGAAATCTAGAGGGCACTCTCCAGCCCTTCTCCCTCTTCCTTTCTCTGCACAATGTGACACTGCTAACCATTCTTCTTCCTGAAAACTCCTGTCCCATTGGCTGCCCACAGGGGCACTCTCTCCTGCCCTCCCATCTGCCCTTTCGACTGTGCTCCTCAGGCCTCTGCTGTCCTGGACCCTTTGGAAACTACACATTCTATGGGTGACAGGCACCCACCCCCACCCCCCCGCATGGCTCTTACCACTGATGCACTGGCAGCTCCCGAGCCACTTTATCTAGCCTCCCTCCTAGATTACAGATCCGAATCACCAAATGCCCGCTGGCATCTAGATCGTCCCCTGAGGATGGACTCCTCCTCACAGTCAACGAGCCCAAACTGAACTCACCCTCAAGCTTCACGGCTGCTCTCCTTCTAAATTCTCCATCCTGCTCAGTACCACCACCATCCGCCCAGCTAGCTGCACAAGCAGAGAGCGGGAGGTCGTCCTGGCCTTTCCCCAACCGCCTCACCCAGTCGGCCACATGTCCCATGGAGCCCGCTCCTGCGGGGCCCCTGCGGCCACCTACTTCCCTCGCTTCACAGTCCCCTGCCTGAGTTGTGGCAACAACTCGACTCCCTCCCTTCCTCTTCTCATCCCTCCCATTGCTTCCCCAACACCCCGTTCTCTACCCTGGGGCCGGAGTGAATTTCCTAGTGCAACATGTCACTGCCAGGCTTCAAAACTTTCAATAACCTAATGCCCTAAGAATATATCCAAAATTTTAAACAATGGTCACATCCCTCCTTCCCACCCCCTACTCCAGCCATGACACACTCTCCTTATTCGAGTCCTACGCTCGCCCCCGTTTCTCCATTCATGAATTCCCTCTGCTCTGAACATGCTCCACTTGCCCAACCTCCTACCCCCTTTAAGACTCCGCTTAGGAAATGCTTCGCTCAGGGAGCCTTTTCTGACTTTCTACAAATGACAGGTCTCCCTTCCTCTGTATTTTCAGAGCACCTGAGATTATCCTTACTCCGGCTCATATTTTAAATCCATTAGGTTGAGTCTCACTTTATGGTGATTCTGAATCCACCCCTGCTTCCAATGGATTCCTTGCTAGCCGACTGCAGTGAACCACTGACAAAGTACTTGTGTTTGTGTTCTAAACCGCACAAAATAGACTGTATCCGATGCTATGTATTTTTTCGACACAGATATCTCACTTACATATGTTCATGTATTGGTCAGTCTAGTCTTTTGTTTTAAAAACAGGATCTCAAAAAAAGCCCAGCTAAGAGGTATGCTCAAGTCAAAGGTCAGAAAAGACCGAGACAAGCTGGGCAAGAGAAATGTGAGCAATGTGACTAAGATGGGAACCCCATGGGCGCCAAGGGCTCTGCTGTCCCAGACGGGTCTACACTGTCCTCCGGGGTTCAGGAGGATAGTGACGGTAGGCTTAAGGAGGAAGACAGGAGCCAGGCTGCAAACTAATGGACGTCTGTCAAGAGACTGAGGACTCTGACTCAGTGGAGACCAGGACACCTGTGGCCACTGTGGCCTCCGTGCCGCTACACCATGGGCAACTCTCTTGTCTGGCGGTGGGGACAAATCCCCAGTGCGTAAACCTAAGACAGTAATTTTAGGTGGAGATACACATTCTTAGCAATTATTATATACTGGTGCTGTGCAAAATGGCCCAATCAGTATGATCTCAATCCTAACAAGCATTCTTTGCAGTGCTACTAAATCCATGTGACAACCAAGCGCGTATGGATGAGCGCGCCTAAGATCGTCCACCGGTAAGGGGAAGAGATGGGGGATTTGGACTGAGTGAGATCCGTGGCTCAAGATCCACTGTCCTAAGTATGCCACAGAGTCACAGTGTGGGTCTCCGCCCCCGGGGTACAGGACCCACACGGCACGGCCCTCACTGCCATCTCATGGTGTCCTCCAAATCGCAAGGCAGCCCTGCGGGGGCCTCGAGAATTACAGCAGGTACAAGAACAGCAGAACGACAGCAAAGCTCCCCGCGCACTCAGGCTGGGTTCTGTCCTGGAAGAGCCCCAGGAATGCACACTGTCAACGTGAACCAAGGGAATATGAGGGCCATCCACAGCCTGGCACCTTCAGAACGTGAAGATCCAGAAAACCCTGAGTAGGACTTTTAGAGTTCAGTTCAAGTTTGGCAGGCACAACAAGCATCTTCCATCTGACTTGATCAGCACAGACCGGCAGTGGCTGCCTGCAACAGGGTGTTGGAAAGGACTCTGGAGTAGCCTACAGGCCCAGCAGCAAGGAGCGTTCAGATCAACAGGGAGGTCTGACACAGCTGACAGGGACAAGTGCGTGATCCAGGCCACTATCTCTAGGACAGGCGCTCCGGAGTTAAGATAAACTTATTCCACCGGCCTTGTCTTCTGGGTCTCACACCAACCTGTGGCGCTGGCATGACTCACACCCCGTATCACAGCACCGACTATGGGGGGAGGTGGCCTAGCCACTGAGGCACAAGAGGCCTAAAACACCACAATCTTCTAATAACGGCATTATAATTCAGGCTTGTGGACTGAATTTGTGAAAATGGATCTCTTGTCTCCTCTTTCCAGATGCTAAAGCCAACAGTCAACTTGGGGCTCTTGAGACACCTTTTAGAAAAGAAATCTGTGAAGAAATAATTTTTCTCCCAACCAGGCAGAAATGTTTCTTTAAAAAAAGAGAACATACAAACTGTTCAAAGAAAGCAGTCTCTGCCCTCTGAACTCTAAACGCACCGCAGGGTGAGGATGGCAGCTATGCACGGAGAAGGCACCCCGGATCCATACGCCACCAGTACGCCGCCCACTCTGGGAGACGCTCGGGCAGCCCTGGCTTTGCTACCAGCTGCAATCTCAAAAAGTCTTTCTTTCAAACAGGTAGGTTATGGTCCAGACACAGACACCAAAAGAAATCCCATCTGAAAGAACACCTGTGGGGGCCTGCAAGAGCAGTGCTATGAAGGGGACCTAGTCTAGGGCGGTCTCAGAGAGGACGGATGAGAAGCCTCTCGCTCCTCCAGAGCACAGAGCCGCATCTGTCAACTCTACACATGGCCCTCAAAGTTAGCTCCATGGACCCTCCAAGTCCTCAAAACCATAATCCTGCAGAAAGGTCATTTGAACAAAGTCAGCCCCCTCCCATCAGCGATCACCGGGAAGTGCTGCATGTCTGCTCAGTAATGCTGAGACCACAGCTCAGAGGGATTACTGGTTCGCTCTGAACCCGAGCAATGGCATTTATAGGCTGCTCTGCGGAACTGTGTACTTGTCAGATCCTGGCACTGAGGCGTAAGCTCCCTGAGGGACGGGCCTGAGAGTCTCATACATCTTGTATCTCTTCAACAACTAGTAGGCTTTAAGTATTTGGTTTACTAAGAAATATTCCCTAGATGGTCACACAGTAGTCAGTACACTTTCAGAAACTACCTATATTATGCTCTTTTAGCCTCCATGGTGTACTGAACTCGGTATGTATACAGTAGGAATAGAGTTAATGCCCCCCGTGTCACAGAGCCGTCCAGCGTGGGCAGCGTGGTGGCCGTGGCCGTGCCCTGTAGTGTTTCATGCACATATTTCTAAACCGGGCTTCACAAGTCTCCAGTTTCACCAAGGAACCAGACTCCGAAAACAAAACGTTGATTATGTTCCATTTATTATTAGAACCAACAGTCAACAGTGAATGACGGGCTAACTGCGCTCTTTCTGCTCACTTGGGACATGAGACTGGACAAGGAACACAGCACTGCTCTTCTACTACGGGGTTGCACCTGGCCTCTGACCGTCCAGCAGCAGGTGGATGCAGGAATTCACGGCAGTGACAGTCACCATCATGGGAGAGGCCTTCCCTTCTCTCCAGGGTTTTCTGCAGGGGAGGGGTGCACCGTGCTGGGCTGCAAACGTCTGAAGGTAGGGAGAGGAGCCTCAAACAACCCGACTTCAGAAGGCTCAGCCAAGCACCTACGGCCACCTGGCGTGCCAAAATGGGCGTCCCTAGGGATCACCGAGTCAAAACTTTGAAACTTTATTCCTGTCAGAAACAAGTCAGACTAAAGAGCCTACAGCTTTAGTGGCAATGAGAGGAAACTGGTGTTACCCAGAAGAAACCGGCAGCCATGAGCATGGTCCCAGGACTTCAAAGCTCCACAAACATGACGCGTTTCCTTTTGCCCGGCTAGGCTTGCTTCACTTTCTTTCCTCTTTATGCTCCATTCTCTCTGTTTCCAGTTTCCATATGGTCTTGCCCCCATGCACAACTGGTATCTTAATGCTGGCTTCTTCTTTTCACCTCTCTTGCTGCTTTCAGTGGTGGCTAATGCACCACGTCACAGTATAAGCGACCTTCGAAATGCTCCTCTATCACAACTCTGAGTCTGGTAACTGGTGGTTTGGTGAACGGGCTGGCTCAGTTCAGTTTGAAAAGGGCAAGCAAGCGGTAAAAAGGTGGAAGCCTTGAGGCCAGAGCTACGAACTGCCCAGGTTGGCATCACGCGTGCTAACGGACTGGCTCGGCGCAGGCACACGTACGTGCCTCTACGCCTCTACCCAGTCCTTCGTCTTCCTGTAGGACCTACCGCCATCATGACAGTCAAACTAATACCTTGAAAATGTTTCTCTCAAACACAGGACGACCCTGGAACACATGATGAAGAATGTAATATCCAGTTACCAGGAATTCAAGAAAAGCAGACAGTTCAGTCTAGAGGACAGGACTGAATCTGGAGGCGGGGTACAGACTGCTTTTGTGCTCATATCGTTTCTAGAACCTTGCAGTGCTGCCGAAGCACATGAGTCCCAGAGCTTCTCTCAATATTTAAAAGATCAAAACTACTGAAGTGAAGCATACTTTAGAAAGATAATTGTGTGAAAATACTTAAAAATAATAACAAAAAAAGAAGATAGATGCTTATCAATCTCCCTTACTTACTTGCATTGTTTTTTTCCTGAGTGGTATCTGCATCAGTGTTAGAGCTGACAGATTGACTGTCTGAGTTTTTGCTGCTGTCACCTAACTTTTTAAGCCTATTTAAGCGTTTATCTGTCTCTCTGAGTCCATATTTGCTATTGATAACAGGAGCAGGTGCAGGCAGTCCCACTCTGGATTTAAAAGCACCGGTTCCCCGTCTGAAAGAGAAAACACACAGGTTAAACAGACAGTGTACTCGCTGTAAGGTCAGTGGCTGTGCGCTCACGGCCACCTCAAGTGAACAGATGTGGTGCACTGACGAGGCCTCAATCATCACTGGCAATCTGCCAAGGCTAGGACTCGCAAAAGAATTAAAAATGTATATAAAATTAACGCAAAAAACCCTCTGGATTTTAAATAACAAATGATTGTGACTATTATCAATTGATTATTAACTGCCCATGAGAAACGCCTAGACCCTGAAGAAGTCCACATGTAGGTGGAAATAACTAATTCTTCAATTTCAAAGCTGGTTAGTCGATAGTTAGGTCTACATTATAGCTTAAATAACCCACCTGTTAATTATATTTCAGCTCTGTTCTATGCAATTTACCTCTACAATGCTGAATATTAAGAACTAAGGAATTAAAAAAAGAAACCAGAGAATTTCCATAAATTAATTCACTACTTAGAATTCGATGTTAGATACAAAACAAATCTTAACTAAAATTCTGTGTAAGGTGGCTACACTACATCAGTGAAAATCTGACTTCTAGAACAATAAAAACCATTTCTTTCAAGTTATTAAGATAAACATGAATGACCATAATTAACACAATGTTACTTAATAAAAGGCACTAAAAGACTTGCTTTTATCACGGGACAAGAATGATTTGTAGCCTACTCTAATAATTTACATTCTTATAGACGTTCTTCTGAAGTGAAGGTGCTCCTGAAGAGGCTCTCATCGACCTTACTGAATCTCACTTTGCAGACATTAACTTTATTCAGCGAGTACTGGTGAGTTTCTACTCAGCTCAATTCGAGAGTAAGTTACTGAGGGTTAAAAAAAAAAAAGGCGCTACATATTACAATTAAAAAATGAGAAATCTTGGGGCGCCTGGGTGCCTCAGTCATTAAGCGTCTGCCTTCGGCTCAGGTCATCGGTCCTGGGATCAAGCCCCGCATCGGGCTCCCTGCTCCGCGGGAAGCCTGCTTCTCCCTCTCCCACTCCCCCTGCTTGTGTTCCCTCTCTCGCTGTGTCTCTGTCAAGTAAATAAATAAAACCTTTAACAAAAAAAAAAAAAAAAAGAGAAATCTCTTTGCCCAAAATTGCCTTCACTGACTTGCCTTTTTGTCCTCAGGTTGTTAAGGAAAAGCCGTGTAACAGCAGCTTTTGAACACACAGCAAAACTGTAGGCGCCCTCCAGCCTGGGAGCAGTACTGGCCTCCATAAAGAGCCCGTGTGATGCTGTCCTTTCAGGATGTGGATGAAGACAAAATAACTACTCCCCACCCCCCACCCCCACCAGTAATCCGAGTGCTCCATCCACTTTTAGCTAGGGGACACCAAAACTTTCAATCTCCCTTCCTACCATCTTACCTCTTAAAGCGAGGGGCACACACCTAAACCGATGGCCAAACCTATCTCTGGTAAGCAGGGTGAGCATTCTTGCTTTTTTCACCTTTCCAGAACAGATCTGGAATTCCATTTTTATGAACATTTCTGCAAAAATCACAACAAACTGGGTGCCTGGGTGGCTCAGTCGGTTAAGTGTCTGCCTTTAGCTCAGGTCATGATCCCAGGTCCTGGGATTGAGCCCCGCATCGGGCTCCCTGCTCAGTGGGGAGTCTGCTTCTCCTTCACCCTCTGCTTGTGCTCTCTCTCAAATAAATAAAATCTTAAAAAAAAAAAAAATCACAACAAACTTATTGTGTGGCTGCCTCAGTTCTGGTCTTGCAAAGTGTGTCAGAAATCATGGTAAAACGTCCAGGTAATTGCTACCCAGACGGGCAAACAGTTCCACTCCAGTCCACATTGACACATGTGCGGAAAGAAAATGCAGAGATGTCAAAGGTGATTTTTTTTCTCATAGGAATTAGAGTAATACGGTATTTTCAGATATTCCATGCCTTTTCCCCATAACCTATAACCTTTCTGGTTCACTTCCAGAAAAATGGGCCATATTTAAATTATGCTTAAATACAGGGGCGCCTGGGTGGCTCAGATGGTTAAGTGTCTGCCTTTGGCTCAGGTCATGGTCCCAGGGTCCTGGGATGGAGCCCCGTATGGGGCTCCTGGCTCAGTGGGGAGTCTGCTTCTGCCTCTCTCCCTGCTCATGCTCTCTCTCTGTGTCTCAAGTGAATAAATAAAATCTTTCAAAAAAAAATTATGCTTAAATACAAATGATCATGGTGGAATTATTTTTTTCTGGAATTAGAGGTTTTTGGGTTTTTTTTTTGTTTTTTGAAGTAAAATTCTACCATTCAACTGCTTCTCTACTTTCCTGATTTCTTCTTTCTAACTTATGCAAGTAAGACGTGCTCCAGCTTTGCTGCAACAAGCAAAACAATCCTAGGATCTAAATCCATAAAGCAAAAGTTGCCGGTCAGGCACCCTGCACCCCCAAAACCCCGAGGTGCCTGCCAGTGTGTCATCCTCCACCTCTCTGCCACAGTCTGCACACTGGTCTACGCAGTTGGTTCTTTTTAAAAAAACAAACAAAACCAAAATGTATGGTAATACTCAGCAATCAGCTTTATCATTATGCAATAGACAAATAAATCTAAACTGAACGTATGTTTTGAAAACTGTACATTTTACACTGAATAAACATTCCCTGATGCATTCAATCATTCCTCACTGGTGGTTAGTGAAACTTGCAGGGATTTTTATTTTTGTTTTTGTTTGCCACCAGGAACACTGCTGTAATACTGCTCTTGAAACCAAATCCTTACTAACGATTGTTCGTATTTCCACAGGAGAGATTCTTCCATATGGGACTGATTGCCGGGTAATAGGATGCACTTATCTTGAATGATTGCCAGACAATTCACGGCCCGACAAACAACGTATGAGTGCCCATTTCTCCACATCCTCACCAGCACTATAGAGTACAACTCTTGTATTCTGCCAATTTGATAGCGACAACAAATACCTGCTTACTGTTTTAACTGCCTTGTTTATGGCCATGATTTTCTGTGCGGCATCCTCCTTACCTTTCCTCTTCTGGAGTCTGTCTTTTCCTCATGAGCTTCTAGGAGCTTTTTGTTATTTGGATTATTAACTCTGCCACATGCGTACCGTTTTCCCTTTGGTTCATCAGTTGTCTTTGATTTTACTTTTGACCTTTCAAACATTCTCGTATTCACGGTTTTTTACTTTACTTCTTTCAAAACCTCTCTACCACCCCAAGGATAAACAGATATTCTACTAATTTTTTCTAAGAATTTTGCATTGTATTTTAAAATTTTAATCTTTAACCCTTCTTGAGCTTAGCTTGGTTTTCTTCCAGATGCACAACGAATGATACTAACATCATTCGTTAGACAAATCATCATTTCCCTGTATGTGATATCAGATCTCACACAAACTCGCCGCTGTTTCAGGCCTCTGTTGTGTGTCCTTTTTTCTGTTTGTCCATTTCTGGGCTAAGAGCATCAAATGCTGATCGCAACTGCTTCCTAGTTACTTTCAATATCTGTTAATGCAAATCTCCTCTAACTAGACTTTAGAAATTTTTTCTTGGCTATCATCAAACATATTTCCATATAAACTTAAAAATAATCTAATCCTTCATATTTTTTGGTCCTTCATTAGACTTTATTCCTCACATTTTCTACAGTAAAGTCCGCAGCACTTACTTACGAACATATTACATTCACAATAGTGATTGTCAGGATGGTTATAGTCAGAAACGTGCATCAAATGCATCCTGGATGCTTCACCCATGATCTCGGTGCCTTTGTAAACCTTCTGCTCACCCGTTTCTTCACGGGGCCAGCTCTTCTCATCCTGCAGCCCTGGCAGAGCGCCTGTGTGCATGTCCCTGACCTGCTCTCACATCTGGCATTGAGCTAATCTTGTTTACTCGGCATGTGCTAGACCTAACATAAGTCAGCTATTCAATTAATAGCTGATGAATAACTGAATGAGTCCCTCTGACTAGTCTTACCCTCTTAGGTGTTCCTAAGAATTTCACGAATATTTGCAATCAACCTTTAAATCAAAGTGCTCAAATAGTCTGAAAAGAGCCGTGGCTACTGTTTGGAGAAAGCCTTTCCATTACAAATGGATCTGCTTGTGTATCTATCTATTCCTCACACTAACCCTGTGGAGGAGACAGGATCACCCCCATCTGACCAGTGAGAAACTGAGGCTCACAGAGAACTAATGTGTCTGAGAAACAGGATGATATATGCAATTCCACACTGGTAAAAGAGCTGTTTCAGGCTGGGCTCAGAATCCTGAATATGTGGTTGCATTTCTCAGGACAGCCTCTGAAAGCTTATTTAGCATCCTGTTTGCCCCGTTTGTTTGTTCATGCATTCATTCAGTGACCAAATACTTATCAAGAACCTACTAGTGCCAGGCACTGTTCTGGATGTTGGGGATATAGTAGTAGTAAGTGAAAGGATAAAAACAATCTCTGCCTTCATGGAGCTTACACTCTAATGGGCAAATAACCAGAAACCACAAAATAACCTGATAGCTAACTTCTGAGTATTAACTGTGTACTGTTCTATGTGCTTCACAGGAAATAATAAATTTAATCCTCATAGTGACCCTGTGAGACCGCTTCTAGTGTTATCTCCACTTTATAGATGGGGTAATTAAGGCACAAAAAGCAGCTAAGTCGCCCAAGATCACATAGGTAATAATGAAGTGCAGTCACAGGATTTCAACTCAGTCAAGTTCCAGATCGTAGGCACTTAAGTTCTACACTATATGCTTTCCCTAGAAAATGATTTTTGAAGCATTATTCAAGTATAATTAAACTACTTCATGGATTAAAGGTCTTTTTGTGGGCTGTTCTAAGATTTAACCAACATTCAAGCCATTTTTTATGTAGAAAATGGTAAGTTTTTTACACCACCCCCCAAAAAGGGAGGGGGATAAAAATTCAGCAGGACCAGAAACAGGTTTTCTGCCATTCCTTATGGCAAGGACCCCGATGATGGGAGAGAAGCGGCTGGGGTGATACCATGACTCCATGCTTCTGCTCTCTCGTGACACGGGACAATACTGCCAGCTACCTGGAAGGAAGGGGAGTGGGGCCTCTGGGGCATTCGCTCTCTCCTCCGAGGCTGGCTGGCTGCAGGTTGGGTGTTTTCAGAGGGAGAAGGAGCACTACCGAACAGCCCTGCTCATATTTGCAAAAGTAGTATGAAGTGGGCAGAATGAGGGCTCTGGACTTCAGCTGCCCCGGGTTCAGACACTTCCATTTCTGTCCTTGCAACGTGGACTTATCACTGGTACTCTCTCTCACAGGATGGCCGTGGAGACTGAATGAGTCAGGGTTAGTAAAGCGCCCAGCACAGTACAAGGTAAGGAAAACAGACTCAACAAATCCAGGTTTGCTCTGCTGTGTGGCCTATGCCAATGCGCACTGCCTTGTGACAGAAGCCTTCCCACAGCACTAGCAAGACAAGCTCGTGAGACCGTCTCTGGGAGCTCTTCTATGCAGAAACCAGTGCAGTGAGTGAGTGGAAACCAGGAGTCCCGCTAAGTCCAATCTGGGGGATTTCTACAAGGACTCCAGAATCTTGACGGGACAAAAGAGGTACCTTATTAAGGAAGAGACAGAACTCAGGAATTACGAAAAGTATGGACATTGAAACAGAAAAATTCCTGTGGTGAGCACAGCATAACATACAGAGAGGCCGAATCACTATGTTGTACACCTGAAACTAGCGTACTGTGGTGTGTCCACTACACTCGAAAAAATTAAAACAGACAAAAAACCCATAAAAATTCCAGAAGCCACAGCTTGGTAATACCCAAGACAACTTCAGGGTTTTTACATGATTATCCGTGGTGAATGTCACTTGCCATATTTTGGGCAACCCCACTCTGGCACTGTGTGTGATCTCCCATTCTGTCTTTAGGCACATTGGGGTGTGTGTGTGATCTACCATTCTGTCTTTAGGCACATTGGGGTGTGTGTGTGATCTCCCATTCTCTCTTTAGGCACACTGAGGTGTGTGTGTGTGTGTGTGTGTGTGAGATCTCCCATTCTCTCTTTAGGCACATTGAGGTGTGTGTGTGTGTGTGTGTGTGTGTGTGTGTGTGTGAGAGATCTCCCATTCTCTCTTTAGGCACATTGGTATTCTGACCAACTCAGCAAACAATAAGCTGGTAATAAGATTTTAAAGGCTGAGGTGCCAAGGTCCCTAAAGAACTCTTCAACTTTGGCTGCTGACTCACACTGTGCCAGGTGCAAGGCTACAGAACACAGAGGACTACCCCCTGCGTGCAAATGAGGAAGTGACCTCAGCTCATGCCCACAACCACCTTACTCGATACTCTACCTTTCGCAAGTGTAACACTCGCAGAACTCATTATTTTCTCCAAAAAACCCGTCTCCGTAATAACAAGAAATCTCTTCTCCAGGCTCAATGTCTCTCAGGGCCTTCACACACGCCGTATCTCGACCAGTCGACACAAACTGAAATACAATCGACTCATTAAGAAACTCATAGCTGAGGCGGAAAGGAAACACTTGAAATAAAAAAATGTCTCCGCTTACCTTGCAGTTAGGTCTGCAATCTGAAAAATGTCCAAAAGATAAAGTCAATTAACTGTAGATAAGATCTGAAACACGAACAATTACAGAAATCTGAAATAAGCTTTCCACATAATTTTACAACTTCTGATAGAAGTTTAGGTCTCGAGGTCAACTACAGGATTATTTACTTAATAAGTTGGTGGGGAAAGACAAAGAGGTCCCATCTCCAACCTCCTGTGAAGGGAGACGAGGTCTGACGGTCTGACAAGGCCATGCTAAGTCTTAGCAGTCCTGCCCGCCACTCGCGCCCGCCCAAGAAGCACAGCTTACCATGGTTTATAAAGGCGGCGGGGCCGAGCCAGAGCTGAGCACAGTTTTTCCTTGTGGAATACATGACACTGAAGTCGTTTTCTCCGTGTCTAAGTAGCATGTTCTCCTCAATTTCTGAAAGTTCGGCAATACAACCCACCAGTAATTCTATTTTGTCATTTCGTTTCCTATTTAAAATATGTCATGTTAAAAATTACTAGTAATTATAAATAACAAGGCTTCTTTCAATAAAATAAGCCTGTCCAATCAATACCAGGAATTGAGAAAGCCTAGCTGTGTGTCTATCAGCTGAGCCCCCGGGACCTCCGCCGGGCCATGTCTTCCCTCCCCGGAAGCCCCACAGCCTCGAGCCACGGCTGCCTGCGTAGCTGCCTCTCTGCTACGAGACACCAGAAGCCACGCTAACCTCCATCTCTGAATCCCCTGCCAGCACGCAGTGTCATGTTCTGCAGGCAGGAAGGACACAAATACCCGCTGCCCTGAATTCAACTTGCTGACAGTGAATGAAGGAGACAGAGACAAGCGGGAGGAAAAGGTCACGGGGACCCAGGAATGGAACGCCACCCTTTAGAGCAGCATCATCCAAGAGAGATGTCACGGAAGCCAAACATGGAATCCTCAGCGTTCTAGCAGCCACATTAAGAAAGTAAAGGAAAAACCAGGCGAAATTACTTTGAGTCATGTATTTTAACCCAATATACCCCCGATCCTATCCAGCAGAAGAAATGTTCATGAGGACTACAGTTTAATATAGCATCTGGCACGTAAACCACATGGACACCACTTCTCTCAGTTCACACTGAGCCACAAGCGTCTGGTAACCACCGCACTGGACAGCCCAGCCCTAGAAGACAAGACCTCAAAGCTCTACATCCACCGACAACAAAAGGAGCTGGGGAGCAGGCTGGATATATTCTCATGTACACTCACAAGCACACATCTATCCCAGAGGCCTGGGTGTGCTGCTCTTTGGCCATCCCACTTTCAGGTACCTGATTCTAACATTTTTGCTATAAAAAATACTGAGGGTATTGAGGGTAGCTTATGAGAGGGGCAATACGTTCCTTCTTCTGAGACATAAGGTAGGAACAGGCATCAGAGGAAAAATATAATCCAATATTCTCTCTCATGAATGGCTTTCATCCCTCCTACCTGGGCTCCACTTCACTACCCTTATTTAAATGGGCACATCTATGTCTGTGTATATATATTTAGGCAGGCAACGCAGAAGAAAATTTCCACCTGTGAAATTCCTAGGATCATTAAGACTTCACACCCCACCTTCCTCTAGGCCAGCAGGAGACCAACTCTTGAAGCCGGGTTCTCCAGCCCTGGCGCCCACAGGCTTCCAACAGCCTTGTCACTGAGCTGCACTCAGACTCAAAGCACGGTGGCTTAGTGACAGGATCTGGTTCAACTCCGATTTCTCATTTCACTGTCCTGACCCAGATCACTGGGCCAAGGCACTGGCCCTGCACTGGCTCCTTTAGGGTGAGCCTGGCTTCACTCCTTCCCACAACTCCCTTAGCACTTCCACAGTTATTTACGAGAGAACTTTAACTAAGATGACATGACGGGTTATACTAGTATAATAGTTACCACTCTTTCGTTGCAACGATTTTGGCTCCATTTTGTTCGGACGAGTATCTATTACAAGGCAGTATTTCAAATCCACTGTCAGTTGCAAACATTCGCAAGTAAATAAATACCTAAAACAGAAAAAAAAAAAAAAAAAAAAGAATATTAACTTTGTATTGTTTATCCCGTTAGACTTGCTCAGAATTATAAAAGCAAACTATCACCAACAACGTAAAACATTAAAGATCATTAGTAACAAACTCTGTTGTTTTTTAAAATTTCACATATTTGAGTACCTAGAGGCTTGGCCAAGTTCCTCTAAAAGTTGACAGTAAATTTCACCTTTAGATGGCAAAGTTTTCTCTTTGGAGAGTCATACAAATGACCTTATGTATGATTAGAACTTCACACTGCTCAGCTTTATGCAAAATTGATTTAAAGCTTCAAGTTCACTAAAATTTAAGCTTTAGTTTTCTCTACTCTTATCCAAACAGAAAAATAGTATTAATCTTATCAATAAACCTACATGTTCCTTGAATAATTTCTCCTGCATTTTGTTCTTGTTGAGAAAATAATGCCGTGCCCATTCGCCTGAAGTCAAACATTTGAAGGCTTTCTCCAAGTGTTCATCTTTCTTAAAACGTTCAATGACTTCCTTTAGTTCTTCTTGCCTTCCCTTAATAGGTCGAAATCTGAACAAAATCAAAACATTCACTTTAGTTATCTGCTATCATCCCTGGGCCACTGATGTGAGTTTCTGAGATAAGAGATTAATAAACTAAAAACAGCCAGACTTAACAAAAGATAATCATCAATAATCCTGATAATTACTCCTCAAGTAATAGCGATCACCAGGAACTAGAACTTCTCTTTCTTCAAACTATATTTTGATATACTTATTTTACTATTACCTCATTTAACTGAGAAATGACCAGATGACTCAAATGAAAGCTGTCTGATTCAGGCTCATACTAGCCATATATTTTGGATGGTCCAAAAGATCTAGAATAGAATGTGTCTTATTGAGAGTTAGAATGACACGTTTTTTTTAAAACATGCAGAATTCAAGCCAGAAGAGTGCAAGGCAATGAGCTTCAGAGGGATGGAGCAAACAAAATCATGCCATAAACAACATTCTGTATGTGCACAGTTAGAAAAATCCCAAACCAACTAGTATCCCAAGAGGTCCCAAAATACACCCTGATGTTCTAACACCCATGTCAAATTAATCTCTGATAACTGCATTCAGAGAGCAAAGAGTTTTGCAAAAAGCACAACTCTACTGGTGATACTGCTAAATTGGTGATTTCAAAGGAAAAACTGTCAGGGTAGAATTCTGAAAGGCTTCTATAATAAAACCAGCCAAGCTTTCAGAATACTGTACAATCGTGGTCCAAAAAAGACTTCTGGGGACACCTGGGTGGCTCAGTCAGTTAAGTGGCTGCCTTCGGCTCAGGTCATGGTCCCGGGGTCCTGCGATCGAGTCCCACATCGGGCTCCTTGCTCAGCGGGGAGCCTGCTTCTCCCTCTGCCTCTGCCTCTCCCCCTGCTTGTGCTCTGTCCCTCTCTCTGACAAATAAATAAAATCTTTAAAAACAAAACAAAACAAAAAAGACTTCTGTTTGTAAAGCCCCTTATTCTAAAGCTGTGTTCTCTTAGTAAAACGTGTACTTGCACCTTAATTTCAAAATTTCTTCTCATGTCAATTTCTTTTGGTTTATTTTCCCAAATAAAGTTCTTTTGTTTTGTTTTTGGAATGTCCAACAACAAAAAAGGAGCTAGACTGCTACTGAAATAAACCGTTAAGAAAAAACTATTAGTGGCTGAGGAGAAAATATATTTGAACTACGCATCTTACTCCAACAATTAAAACTGCATGTCTTGCAAACCCTGAACACACTAACATGGAAGTAAGATCTGGCACAAACTCTAGCACAGGAAGTCTCCAAGCAGAATTTTTTTCCAGGTAAGCTATCATAAAGGTCTCCATCACATTTCAGTGAGATTTTAAGCCATAGTATCTCACCACAGATTCTTTATTAGGTGCTGTGTACACAGGTGGTGTGGAGAAAAATATGAGCGAAGACACGACCACTGCTCTTGAATGGAAAACCCCTTTGGGACGAAGAGATACATACACGCGTCCAATGGTTAAGCAAGGCATCGTTATGCTACTGCAAGTTAACAGGGCATAAACTACACACTATAGCACTCTCAGGTATGGAAACTAACGAAGGTGTAAGGTCTGTTTGGGAAGGGGTTTTGGATTTGACAGTGATGTGGGCAATGAGGAAAGTGGTGATTCCAGCTTTCTAAAGAAAAAGCAGAATATTACCCTAGGCAGGAAAGAATCAAAAGGCGGCAGGCAAAGTGAGGGGAAGTCTAAGCAGAGGATCTTAATGAGGGTGGATTCAAAGAGCCAAACAAGGGCTGAGGGAGTCAGCTTGGTCAGCAACATTGAGGGAAAGTACTAGAACAAGGAAGAGGAAAGACGTGAGCCCCTGAGTGGGGGGGAATGCTGTTTACTGGACAGGACCCATAGAGGACCTCCACTCTAGAAATGCAAGCGGACACCGCTAGGTGGTGGACTAACTAGCCAAAGTGTCAGTAAGCTGCTCACAACTAGTAAGCAGAACTATGACAAAGGCTTCAGGCACATCCTGGAGAGATCATACGAATAAATGGACAATGCCCTATATTATTTTCCATTTCAATCAATTAGCATACCAGCTCTCACAGGCAGGTGAGTGCAAGTCCTTTAAACAGTTCAGAAGGTCTTTAACTAGGCTGTCAGAATACGGTGTCAGAGAACCACCGTTAAAATGATCTAAAAAAACCACCTGCAGAATTGTGGAACCATCCATACTTCCACACAGATAGAATACTAAACTACTTACTTGCAGTCACCACAAGCGATTTTGTCAAGAGCGGGTTTCTTAGAAAACCTAAACCCTCCGTGGCGCAGTGCTACACTATGAGGCTCCCGGCACAGGAAGGACAGATGAGTCGCCCTGGCAGCTGCCAGCTAAGGCCAGAATATGAAATGGTGGGAAACAGACAACCCATGTTTTGTGGAGGAAACAGAAAAGCAATAGTTCACTTATAGAACGAATATGGACTCATCTATGATGTTAAGTGGCTACAAAGCACAGAAAGAGCCAAGCCATCTTTCCAAGTTTAACGTGGAATTGACTAACGGTGACACTGTGTTTTAAAATAACCGCATGGCCTGATGCGTTAGAAAAGCAAGCCAAAGTCAGGGCTAAATTCACCTAAAGTTCTTGAGAACATGTTAGAAAAATAAGCTGCAGACGTGGAATGGATGCTGCCTCTTCCTGACAGGCCTTCTGTGCACTCTCCACTTCCTGAAACACGTTCCTCCCTCTCTGAAAGTGCCTGTCAGCTCTCCTTAGTTTTGCTTACTCTTTGTTCATGATGCCAAACAATTTATATGCCAAAACCAACACAAAATAACCAACTGGCGACTTAGTAATAGTCTGCCTTTGTTTCTGCTTTCCTGACTTCTGCTTCGAACACAAACAAAACCCCCGAAACTGTCCCTTGCTACTACTCACTGACAAGAACCCCTATTTCACTTAAGATGTAATTTACTGTCAGAACTTACTGTCTCAGTTGGCTGCTATAGGCATGAAATGACAGTGAGGCAAAGGAGGAAGAAATGGTTCTGGGTGCAGACAGGAAGGGGTGAGACAGTTGTTTCCGACAATCCTACAGACGTACATCAAAATCACCTGGCTGACAGCTCAAGTCAAATCCCATTATAAGAGATACTTCGGGGAGATAAAATTACTTAATAACCTAAGATTGTTACAACTAATAGGGTCAGAGCAAAAAGGCACTGAAAACCCTGGAAAAAAGTGAAGTGTTTTTCTACTATTGAGGAGAAAAATACCCTTTGTCCTCTCCTTAACCACAGTCATTCTAAACCTACCATGCAAAGCGTACAAAGCTACCCTCACACTATGGTTCTTAAAGCTAGAAGAATATTTAGGTTATGTGAAACAATGCTCCTGTTCCATAAATGAGGAAAACAAGGCCTAATGAAGGCTGTTGGGGGACGGACTATTATTACCCGGCCTTGTACCCAGTCCTACTCTCTCATGTAAGACTCTGAGGGTCCTCTGGTGTTTCATGATCAAATAGGATTTGACTTGCGTTCGCTGCTGAGCACAGCACAGAGCCCAGCCAGGGACTGCGAAAGGGGTGGACACAAATATATACTTTTGAATTTAGTATCTGGGAGGTGGCAATCAGCGTGGCAGGGGAGGCAAGAGACAGGAATTGAGGAGATTTCCAAATCAGTATGTCCCTCTTCCCCTTCTTAATACAAACTTTACAACTTTAAATAAACCAAGCATTGTTCTCTTCCCCCACCTCTGATCAATGGCTGGTATAAAAAATACAAAAATATGTCACTTAAATCATTTATTATTAAAAAGGGCAGAAAGAAACATGAATTCACACTCCCACACACCTGTTCCCCACTCTTTCCAGAGACTGACTTCCCAGGGTTTCTTGCTATTTGGTTTTTCTGTTTCCAAACCCAAGTGGCCAGTGCGGCACTGAAGGGAAGCTGCGGATTTCTATTAGCTGTACTACTGTGCCCTTCCATTAGCATGTACACCCAAGAGCTGACTGGAGGGAGCGGGAGAGAGGAGGGGGACAGAAAAAAGGGAGCAAGGGAAGGAGAGAGGAAGAGAGAGAAAATGCTCAAATATTTAAGATATAAAATAAGAAGACGGTGAGGCAACATCGTGAACACATTTCCCCCTTTGAAGAAAGTTCAGCTGCACACGGACAGTTGGTAGATGCTGAGGAATCATGCTAGAACCACAGCTCTTCATTCCTTCTGGACCTGAAAGGAGACAACCCCCAGACACATACCTGGCTGAGTCCTGCAATCAGTGCTCAGCTAATCCCAGGGAGTGACTCCTGATCTTTTGATGAATGCTTTCTCTTAAAATTACCCTGTTATGGAGTACAAGTGGTTTTTTAAATACAGCTATTACTAAGATCAAACTATTTTAAAAGGTTTGCAAAATGTTCTAAAAATCGTGTTTATGCTGACACCTCCAATTACTTAACACAAAAGAACATCATAAAGATTGAAACAGGTTAGCTGGTATCTTATTATCGTTTGTAATGCACTCTACCTACCTCACAGGGTTGTTGTGAGGAAAACTGTCAGATTTTGAAAAATGCCTTGAGCTCCTCGAAGGAAAGGCGCTATATAAATGCAAAAACAAACAACAACAATAAAAACTATTTGTGTAAGTTGTATTTATAACTTCTAAACAGACTTACAATATTAGTTGTCCCACAAGTCCTTAAAATGCTGTGACACTCAAGAGCTTTCTGAAGCCATGGGCAGACTCAGCACAGTAACAGAGGCCAAGATGCCGAAATTCTCTTTCCCACACGACATCCTTTCCCCCTTGATCACATTAAGTTAGAAGGCCTAAAAATGTCTTTGTTTTCTAATCAAGCACTTGAGTTTAAAGTGACATTTAAAGTGATTTATAAATTCACACCCCATACTGGATATGAAAAATCAAATACATAAATAAGCAAAATTAAAATCTGATGGTTACAACAGAAGGATGAGATAAGCCGAGTACAATTTGGATTAGAAAAATAGAGAAAAGTTCCAAAAATCCTGTGAGGACTCTTCCCATTTCTTCATCATGTTATTTCCTGCTCAGCGTCCTCCACTCCCCAGGAGACGGAAACCTCCCAAGTCATGCTGCCTACAACAAGGGGCATTATGGAAGGCATCCATCCCTGCTTTACACTATCACCTGTCCACATGCTTTTTAAAAAATTGGAGACATTAAAAAAAAAAAATCAGAGGCATAACTAGCAACTCTGTTCTCTGGTTAAAAGGAAGAATTTCAGTTTCATAATGGACAGAAGTCAACTAAATCTAAATATTCCCCAATAAATTGAAATTACTACTTTGTTTATAATACCATTTCTAGATAGTCATGCTACAACTCTGACTTGTTTGTTTTTAAATGTAGGAATTTATCAAGACTAAAACATAAGCATTCATAATAGAGCTAGGGGAAATTCTTAAACTGTTAAGTATCTATTGTATCTGAACATGGTTTCTGACGGCACACCGCAGGAAGTAGAGGGAGGAAAAAAGGCCTAAAACAGAGAAACTGAAAAAGGACAATCAAATTACAGATGTACAAACATGGGAATGAGATCACTCCTACAAGTGACGGACAGCTTGGACAGGGAAGATCCAAGCTCCAGTCATGTCTTTCATACCCCAAAGAGAAGTCCATAAACTTAATAATTTAAGAAACAGTCAAAATTATTCTAATGCAGCACCACTGATTTTCCTCATTTCCTATAAAATGCTATCTTTGAGAATGACGTAAGTCAACATTCTGATAAATTCTTGCTCAAAAGGTGAAGAATTAGAAGACACAGTTTTATTTTCAAGTTCACTAAGATTAAATGAACACATACGCCTTTCACTAAGATTAACAAGCTTCATTAATAAAACTTCTGTGTATTCCCTAACGGCAGCTTACAAAAGTCTGTTAAAAGACCTCTGAGGGGCGCCTGGGTGGCTCAGTCGGTTAGGTGGCTGCCTTCAGCTAGGGTCGTGATCCTGGGGTCCTGGGATTGAGCCCCATGTCCGGCTCCCTGCTTGGCGGGGAGCCTGCTTCTCCCTCTCCCTGCCACTCTGCCTACTTGTGCTCTCTGTCAAATAAATAAATAAAATCTTAAAAAAAAAAGACCTTTGAAATGGGAGCGCCTGGGTGGTTCAGTCAGTTAAGCATCTGACTCAGGTCATGATCTCAGAGTCGTGGGACCGAGCCCCATGTCAGGCGCCATGCTCACTGGGGAGTCTACTTGAGGATTCTCTCTCTTCTCCCCCTCTGCCCCCCCACCCCACATGCACGCGCTCTCTCTCAAATACATAAATAAATATTTAAAAAAAAAAAAAAAGGCCTTTGAAATGAACACCTCTAGTAAAGGCAGACAGCGCTCGGGGACACGGCAGCATTGCCGGCTCAGCCACGCAGGCCCAAGGTGCTCTAGAAAGGGCAGAGCACAACCATCTGTGCCACCTACGGCTCCTCTAGGAACTCTAGGAGTAGGATTACACGTTGTACTGAAAAATATGAATAAGTGTTTTCTTCTGAATGTTTAATGTGGTTTAACTAATTTTAGATCCTGCATTTTAATTTAGGGCTATCTGGATACAGTAATGTCTTGAATTTTAATAGTATTTGTGGAGTAACCCTGAAGTTTACATCTTAGGACTGCATGTTTTTATTTATTTTTTAAAAGATTTTATTTAGTTAGAGACAGAGAGAGCAAGAGTGTGTATGCGAGAGCACGGAAGGGAGGGGGGAGTGGGAGAGAATCTCAAGCAGATTCTGTGCTGAGTGCGGAGACCAAAGCAGGGCTCGATCCCACGACCCTGAGATCACAACCTGAGCTGAAACCAAGAGTCAGACACTCAAATGACTATGCCACGTGGGTGCCCCAGTTGCACATTTTTTAAATGAGCCTAGGAAACTACTGATAAGGAACTTTTTATCCACTCATTATATCATAACAAAGCTCAGTAGGCCAGATGGCCTAGGACCTTGCTATTCTAAGTATAGTTGGCAGCTTGTTAGAAATGGAGCATCTCAGGCCCCAGCCAGCCCACAGCTACTGAATCAGAACCTGCATCTGAACAAGACTCCCCAAGTGACTCACATGTAAACTAATTATGGGAAGCAGTTGTCAAGGAGGACTTTTATTTAAAAATACGAGTTATTTCCTATTGCAGGAGCCACTAACAGGTAACTGCTCATCTTTTGGAACAAAGAATGGCTGGGGGAGAGGGGACCGAATACACGGAAATTCTTTCCTAAACCACTGAAAATTTTACTGTAATTCTGATGCAATGCTTCCTAAGATGGCTTACATGCTTCCATATTTCAGTATACAAGGCATAATGAACATGACCTCTTTCTTCTCTTGCTTGATGACTCCAGGTCATAATTATGGGCCTTTGCAGTAATACCCTGAGTATCTCTAAGACTATTATGTGAAAGTGAGTCACATTTCTTAAATATTATCAGGATCTCCTAGGAGAACGGGTGCTAGCCTCACTGGGGAAAGAAGGGAAATGCACTTAAAATAATGCAGACCAGATTTTAATTGGACACTAGGGCATCCAGTCCTGCTGACTTTCCAGACAATAGTCATCCACCTGCCTACTTACAAAATTTAGGTTATCTATCCTTCCGATGGCAGGGAGCTATTTAAATAAGTTCTCAAGTCCACATCAACTTGTCACTTCATTTTATAGCAAGAAAAGACCTATGATGACAGGAAATCACATGAAAATACCAAAGGCTCAGGGTGCCTGGGTGGCTCAGTTGGTTAGGCAGCTGCCTTAGGCTCAAGTCATGATCCCGGGGTCCTGGGGTTGAGCCCCACATCAGGCTCCCTGCTCAGCAGGGAGTCTGCCTCTCCCTCTCCCCCCTGCTCATTCCCATTCTCTCTCTCTCTCTCTCATTCAAATAAATAAAATCTTAAAAAAAAAAAAGAAAGAAAGAAGAAAGAAAATACGAAAGGCTCATTTTTATCTGAATTACTTCTTTCTGGATTTAGAATATAATTGATAAATGAATCATACTGTCTCTTGTTTTAAATTCTAGCAAGGGACCGAATTAAAAGGGGAAAAAAAATGGCACAAGATTTCCTCTAGTCACCTTTACTCACCAATTCTTCCCTCCCCCCACTATTGGTGACGAGTCACCTGGTGATCAAGTCCCTCTAGAGCTGTCACTGGCCCTGGAGCTACAAACACCAGTGCAAGTGTGAGGAAGGTGGGAGGGAGCAGGGCCCTAGAACTGGCTCAACATTCTCAGTCCCTGCTGTTACACTCTTCACCAGCCTTGAAAACCCTTTGCCACTCAAGTTAAGAGGTAAAGAAAAGTTGTAAAGTTCCGACTTAGTGTCCGGTGGCAATTATGAAATTATCTAATGGCCTTTTTTGGGGGAAAGAGGATGTTTAAGAGAATATAATAGATTTCAGTAGCAATGTAATACTATATCATACAGGTGCCTTCTTAGCGCAGTGGGCAGCGCTCAGTCTCATATTTTATACAGATGGCATGTGATACTCAATAAAGCACTTACGCATCTCTTTTCTTATCCGTGTACTGAACAGAAGCACATCTTTAAAAATATTCACTCTTACCATGATTAGCTGAATCTCAAAGATTAAACATGATGGCAAAATTCTCTATATACAGTTGCAATTATTTAAAAGAAGAAAAGTCTACAATAAAATCATGAAAACATCCCTGATGGAACCTACTTTGAGCAGAAAAAAAAATCATACACATTTTCAAGGTTTCACAGGATTTTTCTTTCAGCTAAGATAATTATCGTTACCATTTAAAATAAAATATGAGATGCTCCTCCAGCTTTATATTTTAATAGAAACAGCCTGAGATAAAATAAGAACACAAAATTAAAACTGACAAGACCCTTGGAAGCTTTTGTTGCTTTTCTTCGCTTACATATAGAAAATCTTCTACAGCAAAGATCTTTCCTTTAATGTCATTTTAAATTCTGACTAAAAGTAAAATTAGCATCTCTTTTCTTAAATTCAACATCATCATCTGCTCCACTTCAGGATAAAGACTTACAATTACCTAGTATTCATTTTGTGTGTTTGAAAACCTAAATAGGGATCAAGAACCAAACTGGTCGCCAGATCATCATTCTCACAGAGTTCCTTGGCAGACATTCCAGAAGATGGTACATATCGACTCTGTCCTTCAAATCCCGAATTACCATTACCTATGAAAAGAAAAAGAAAGAAAAGTAACTCAAATAGAAAACTACTTGTATTTATTTACCTGTTAAACCTTTAGCTTCACTGCCCTCTCAAGCTAGTAATTCAGAATGGAAATTACTTGTTTCAATCTGTTTAATTCAGAGCTGAGTGCCTTTTGCATAAACAGAAAGCCAAATACAGTAAATAATGGAGGGTATTTTGGTTAGTAGGGATGATACCAGGTTTCCCAAGAACAGGTCTGACGAGGTGAGAGATCTTGGGCTCAAATGCCTTACTAGCCCCTTGGAGGAAGATGGGAAACAGGGAATGAGTGGATGCTCATTGCCACAGCAAGACAGCATCAGGAGGCGTTCAGAGGGGGGAGGGGGAGGAAAGGAGCAGAGCAGAAGCAGCGCTCTGCAGGATGTGCCAGAAGGGCGGACCTCAGGGATCAAAGGGAGCCCGAAGGAGATCACTTCGCCTTCCTGCTGGGGGCAGGTGGATGAGAACTGTCCCCACTTTGCAGGCAAAGGGTTCAGAAACTCAACTGGAAGAGTTAGGTGGCAGAAGCGGGGAAAGCAGAGAGAATGACAGGCTGATTTCTAGCCTGTATGAAGCAAATTCTGAACGAATGCATAAAAATAGGGAAGTGCCGGAGATACCTAACTGAGGTAATCTGGTTTGGTGCGGAAGAAACACAGCGCAAAGAGAGGACGGGAAGGCCACACTCGTCCAGGTGAAGCTTCAGTGGTGCTCAGCCACGTAAGTCAGCGAGAGTCTTTTCAGCCACGCAATTATGCTAACAGGATAATCTTAAACCTCTCACAATTAAGGTGTGGAGGAATGAAAGACACAGTGAGAGGTAACCTTCTTTTCTACACTCTTTCAAAAAAACAAATTAACACTCAACATCTAAGTCCCTATCAGAAGGTAAGTATATGTTTTGCAATCAAACCATTTGCACGTAGGTATGTAAAAGCTAACCAGGTTGGTATATTTTCTATTTTCTTCATTGAAATATAATTCACAAACCACAGAATTCACCCTTTTAAAGCGTACAGTTTAATGGTTTTTAACGTATTCACAGAACTGTGTAGCCCTCACCACAATCAATTCTGGAACATTTTCATTACCCCCAAAACAAACCCCATACCCATGAGCAGTCACTATCGATTTTCCCTTCCCCCAGCTGTTGGCAACCACTAATCTACTCTCTATTTCTATGGATTGGCCTGATCTGGAAATTTCATATCAATGAAATCAGACAGTATGTGATCTTTTGTGACTGGTTTCTTTCAATTAGCATAATGTTTTCAGGGTTCATCCATGTGGTACCATACAGCAGTACTTTATTCCTTATTATGGCCAAATAACATTCCATTGTGTGGATAGATCACATTTTGTTAGTTCATTCATCAGTTGATGGACACTGGGCTGTTTCCACTTTTGGGCTATTATGAACAATGTTTCTATGAACATTCATGTAAAAGTTTCTGTGTATACCTATGTCTTCCATTCTCTTAGGCCCATACCTAGGAGTGGAAGTGCTAGGTCATATGGTAACTCTTTGCTTAACTTTCTGAGAAACTGCCAGGCTGTCTTCCAAAGTGGCTGCACCATTTTACATTCCCACCAGCAGCGTATGATTGTTTCTAAATTCTCCACATCATCACCAACATCTGCTACTATCTGTCCCTTTAATTTGACACATTCTGGCGGCTGTGAAGTGGTAGCTTGTGGTTTTGATTTGCATTTCCCAGATGACTAATGATTTCAAGCATCTTTTCACGTACTGGCCATTTGTGTATCTTGGAGAAATGTCTATTCAGATTCCATTGCTCATTTTGAATTGGAGTTTGTCTTTTACTGCTGACTTGTAAGAGTTCTTTGTATATTCTAAATACCAGTCCTTTATCAGATACATGATTTGAAAATGGTTTTTTTTCCCTTCTGTGAGTTTTTCATGGTCTTGATGTTTCCCTTCAAGCACAAAAGTCTGTAACTTTAATGAATTTCAATTTATCTTTTATTTTTCCTTTTGTTCCTTGTGCTTTTAGTGCCCTAAGAAACCACTGCCTAGTCCAAAGTCATGAAAATGTATGCTTATGTTCCCTTGGAATTTTATACTTAAGGTCTTTGATCCATTTTGAGTTAATTTCTCACACATACTATGAGGTCGGGTCCAACTTCATCCTTTTACATGTGCATATCCAGTTTTCCAGCATCATTTATTGAAAGACCATTCTCTCCCCAATTAATTTTCTTGGAATACTTGTCGAAAATCAACTGATTGCAAACATGACGGTTCATTTCCAGACTCTCGATTCTATTCCATCGATATATGTCTAGCCACATGCCAATATAACACTGTGTTTTTGTATTAAGTTTTGAAAATGAGAAGTGCATGTGTGCCATCTCTGTTCTTTTTCAAGACCGTTTTGGCTACTCTGGGTCTCCTGAATTTCCGTAAGAATTTTAGGACTGTCTTGTCAATTTCTCTGCAAAGGAGCCAACTGAGATTTTGATAGGGACGGTGTTCAATCGGTAGATCATTTGGGGAGTACTGCCATCATAACAATATTAAGTCTTCTAATCAATGAACATGGGATGTCTTTCCATTTATTCAGGTCTTTTTAAATTTCTTTCAACAATGACTTGTAGTTCCCAGAGTGTGAGTTTTATACTTTTATTCTTTGCATACTGACCTATCCTGCTGAACTCATTTATCAGTTCCAATAGCTTTTAAGTGGATTCCTTAGAATTTTTTATATACACAATCATGTCATCTGCAGATTATTTTACTTCTTCCTTTCCAATCTGGACGTCTTTTAATTTTCTTGCCTAACTGCTGTGGTTAGAACCTCTAGCACAAGGCTTAACAGAAGTGGTAAGAACAGATATTATTGTCTTGTTCCCGATCTCAAAGGAAAAGCATTTAATCTTTCACCATTAAATAGGACATCAGTTGTGGGTTTTTGTAGACGTCCTTTATCAGGCTGAAGAATTTCCTTCTATTCCTGGTTTGTCGAGTGTTTTTACCCTGGAAGGGTCTTGTTGAATTCTGTCAAATGCTTTTTCTGCATCTACTGGAATGATCCTAGGGTTTTTGTTCTTCATGTTATTGATGTGGTAGTATTACATTAATTTTCAGGTATTAAGCCAACTTTGCATTCCTGGGATAAATCCCACTTGCTTATGTTATAGAACCCTTCCCACTTCTTGCTGGATTTGGTTAATATTTTAGTGAGGATTTTGTGTCCATATTTATTAGAGATATTGGTCTGTAGTTCTTTGGGTATTTTTTGCTTGTGATATCTTTGGTTTTGGTGGCAGAATAATAGTGTCTCACTGAATGAGGAAGTGCTCCCTTACCTTCTATTTTTTGGAACAGTGTGTGAAGAATTGGTGTTAATTCTTCTTTAAATATCTGCCAGTATTCACCAACAAAGCCATCCAGGCCTGAGATTTTCTTAGCAGTGTTTTTAAAAAATTACTGATTCAACCTCTTTACTTGCTACAGGTTTATTCAGATGTTGTATTTCTTCTTGAATCAGTTTTGGTAGTTTGTTACTTTCTAGGAATTTGTTCATTTAATCTAAGTTATCTAATGTGTTGGTATCCAGGTGTTCAGAAAATTGAGTTGTAACCTTTTACTTCTGTGAGGCAGTAGTAATGTCCCCTCTTTCATTCTTGAGGCTTCTCTTTTTCTTGGTTAGTCTTGGGTAAAGGTTTGAGAATTTTGTTGATTTTTTTTTCAAAGAGTCAACTTTTAGCTTTGCTGATTTTCTGTTGTCCTTCTACTTCTCTATTTGTAAATTTCCACTCTATTATTTCCTTCCTTCTGCTTGCTTTGAGTTTAGTTTTCTCTGCTTTTTCTGGTGTTTTAAGGTAAGAAGTTAGGTTACCGATGAAGAGTGATCTTTCTTCTTTTTTAATACAGTTGCTCACAACTCTTAAGTTTTCCTCTAAGCATTGCTTTAACTGCATCCTGTAAGTTTTAGTATGTTGTATCCTCATTTTCAATCATCTTGAAGTACTTTCTCATTTCTCTTTGGATTTCCTCAACTCATTGGTTATTTAGGAGTGTGTTGTTTAATTTACACATATTTGTGATTTTCTCAAATTTCTGTTATTCACTTCTAATTTTACTCCATTGTAATCAGAAAACATACACTGTATGATTCCAATCCTTTAACATTTATTGAGGCTTGTTGCACGGCCTAGCCTATGGTCTACGCTGAAGAATGTTCCGTGTGCACCTGAGAAGAATGTGCATTCTCTTGTCATTGGGTGGGGCGTCACACAGATGTCTGTCAGGAAGAACTAGTTCAGGGTCCTCTTTAAGTCCTTCTTCCCCGTTGATCTTTTGCATAGTTGTTCAACTCATTATTGAAAGTGGGGAACTGAAGTCTCCAAATTACTGCTGAATTGTCTATTTCTCCCTTCAGTTTTGTCCATTTCTGTGTCACGTACTTGAGGCTCTGCTGTCAGGTGCAGTCGCGGTAGTTACTGAGGATGGAGCACAACTTCGTTTTGCTTCTTCGTCGGCTCTCACTTTGTACCATTCTTGTCCAGTGACATTCAATGGGACGCTGTCCATCTCCACATCTGCTGGATTTTCCCAGCCTGTCCTCAGAATCTGTCTACTCTTGGCAAAGTGTAGCACATTTAACGATCATTTTCTACATTATTATGTACTTTCAACAATAAAACTAATTAAGACCTTTTGCTCTATGATGCACAAAAGGAGGCCAACAGCCATTTGAAAAAACAAACAAAAACAACCAAAAAAAAGTTGCCTAATTTACTGACCAGAGCCAATACCACCTGCTACAGTCACCAATTTCTCATTTGCTTCAGATTCCCATCACATGCTCCAGGGTGAGCAGAGCAGGTGTCCGTGAGGAGGAGAATCTATTCAGTCTTGGGCACTCTAACTCCTATCCCAAGCAGGGCTTTCTGCCTAGTTTTTTACAGAAACAGTGATCTGTGCTGATATGGAAATGTTAAGTGCAGCCTGGGCCCGATAAACTGCATGAACCTCTAAACAGTAGGAAGGTCATCAGTCGGAACTGGTGCAATCTATCTGAAACTGCTGCAAGTCCCAGGAAAAGCCAACTCTACTCAGGGCAGGGAAACTGCAACATAAACTAAAACTATTCTGTAGGGGGGCTAAATTAACCTCAGGAGAAGCAAGAACTTAGAAAGCTATCCTCCTCAACATGGCCGAAGGCGGTTGGGTCTCTTCATCTAGCTGCCTACTTAGGTTCACACTTACCCTGGGGCACTTTCCTGCTCTCAAAAGAACTACTTCCTGAACTCTTAACAGAAGCCTCCTTCTCACCAAGAGGTAGGAAGGTAAAAAAGTAACTCATTATCGCCAGTGCTCCAGTGTCAGGATAAACGACTGTTCACCCCATAAAAATAGAAGAAATGGCAACAATTTGGGAAGCTGCCCTAAATTCTATTTCTCCTGTAGAGATGACTTGATTATTCATGTTGCTAAGTTTTCAAAGGAAGACATACTTATACTTACATCAGATGTAAAAAATATGGTTTGAACTTATAGGAAATCCAGTGGCAGCACTTTAATATTTTTTACAGAACAGATTAAGCACTCAGCTATACATTCTACAAAATATAACTTAGGTCATGGATCTAAGAGCATAATTACGGTTATCATATTAAGCATTAAACTAGAGGTGTGTGCATCAGATGAGAATGAGAACTGTTATAACTTTGAAAGGGTAAAAAACACCCCACTGTTAACTGTGAGAACATGAACAAGTGTTCTGAAAACAACAAGACAGAATATATGTCACAAGCCGCAAAGAATTGCCGGCCAGATCACAAGGAAAAGGACAGTCGCACTGTGTACATACATCTGCTCGACCTCCTCTCAACTGCGTGTTTGCCAGCCTTCGTGGCCTCCTTCCCCGCGTGCTGCAATTTTGATGGACTCTGCTGATGGTCATTAGACAACTTGCCTCCACTCCTCCTGCCATTCACCACCATGTTCTTGGATTCTCCCAACCACTTCATGCCCACAGACCGCCTGACCCAGGTGCATTGAGTCGCTCTCTTCAGATAGCTCAAAGAATAATTCCAACGTTCTCTCCTGACAGAAACAAAATACGGAAAAAACCAGGAGGTAAATACATAAAAGACCATACTACCCGGACCCTTGAGAAAGATATAAAGTATTAAGTCTTTGGTGCTGGGAGCCGTGGAGGAGCAGCAGGGCCACAAGGAGGGAAGAACGGGAGCAGCCAAGGCCCAGCCGCCGCCGTGGGCGCCCCACCAAGCACACCAAGTCCGTGCAGAGCAGATCCAAGGTGTGCCACAGCGCCGCTCAAGGTCTCCAAGGACAAGCGCGCCCCCAAGCTCATTGAGGAAAGGGTGGGGCCACACATCTGTGCCAAGAGGAAGAGAGAGGAGCTGAGCGACTCCCTGGCAGCCATGAGGAAGGTGGCAGCCAAGGACCGAACCCCACCCCTCTGTATGTCATAAAGCCTTTTTTTTAGGGGGGGGAGGTAATTTAGTAACTAACATTTCCACTCTTTAAAGACCACTTGGCGCCCCAAGCCATCCAGTGTCATGCTGAGGTCTCCAGCACCCCCAGACTCTGAGGGGAGCTCACTCTGCCGTGCACATTGCTTGTGCTGTGCGTAGAGACTGGTAAATAGTAAATGCTCCATAAGTACTTACCTTTCAGTTACCAATAAGATTCATTTTGCACCTTGTTACGTTGGCATTTAGGTACACCTCAACAATCTGCTCAAATGACATGTTTTGGTTAACAGTATATTAACTGTGAGTAAACTACAAGGAAGTTCTCTCTTCTGTTATGAGGAAAGCTTAAGAAAAAGTATCTAAGTTAAGCTTTGTCCACAACAGCTTTGTCTTTTGTTGTTAATTTGAAGTCAACAGTCAAGGTTTTTCAGAGACTGATATTCAAATATCAAAGTATTGCCCATCATGAAATGTCTGCCTTTGTAATAGCAACAAAAACTGAGAAATTAGGGTGCCTGGGTGGCTCAGTTGGTTGGGCGACTGCCCGGCTCAGGTCGTGATCCTGGAGTCCCGGGATCGAGTCCGCGTCGGGCTCCCTGCTCAGCAGGGGGTCTGCCTCTCCCTCTGACCCTCCCCCCTCTCGTGTTCTCTCTCTCATTCTCTAGTAAATAAATAAAATCTTTAAAAAAAAACTGAGAAATTATATTTACTAATATAGAGATATCCTTCACCATCTGAATTTTAATTAGCTGAATTTGGGAACTGAATGATTTGGATAGTGAGGGATGCTTATAATTTATAAGGACCTTTGGAAGTAAGGGTATAACGGGTTACATTTTGCTGGTAATGGAACGAGAATAGGGATGTCCATGGCATCACCTCATTATGGAATTATGCTTTATTATAAACCAGACTAAAAGAGTTTCAGGATAAGAAAGTGCAAACACACAGAACTTCAGAGCTAAAGGGGCTTTAAGACCCTAGTACAACTCCTTCGATTTGCAGATGGAACCACCACCACAGAGGCTGAGAAGTCCCATGGCCCAGCCCACACCATGGGGCTGGGGCAGAAAGAGGAGAACCCAGCACTGCTGCCTGAGGGTCTCTCACTACCCCATACAAAGGCCAGTTTCCCTTATTTTTTAAAAACACAAATGATACATTATTTTGAAGTACTTCTAGAAATGTACACCTGGGTCATAACTTTAATGATACCCAACAAAAATACAAAACATTAATTTTTTAAAAATCCTTATTTATTTTAGAGTGCGTGCATGTGTGCAAGTCGGGGGAAGGGCAGAGGGCGAGAGAGGATCCAAAGCAGACTCCCTGCTGAGCACAGAGCCCAAAGCGGGGCTCATTCCCATGACCCTGAGATCATGACCTGAGCTGAAACCAAGAGTAGATGCTTAAACAACTAAGCCACCCAGGCGCCCCGGAACTACTTTCTGTATTGTTTTAAACTGCAGAATACTAAAGTTATAACCTGACCTCTTCAAGTCCGCTTCTTTCTCAAGATGCCTCTGCTGTTCAAGGCAGTGAGTGAAGCCCCCGCCTGCACAAAGACATGGCAGGAATCACAGCCACTATCGACAGCAACCCCCCTACCACCTGCCCTTCTGCCTTCTGCTTCACCCCCTAGTTCTGCACCTTCAGAGGAAAAGAACAAGAAGGAGAAGGTAAAGTGCTTTTGGTCCTTTAGGAAGTCCATCTCAAGAATGCCCTCCTGGAATACACAGTTTATGGAGCAGACTGAAGAATGTGTTTTCGGGACTCAGGAGTCCTAATACCCTTCAACGGTGAGACATAAAATAGAACCACATGGAACAGAAAAGAGCAATATGGCTTTAGAGAGAATTAAGAGAGAAAAGAAATAGCAAGTTATCTCTCCACAGAGAATCCTGAATCCCAACGCTGATTCTCACTCAGAGATAAAAAGCAGAAAACCCGGGATGAAGCCCAGCAACTTGTCCTTAGTAAAGCCCCCCACGTGGTTCTGAAGTAAACTCCCATGTGAGAACTATTGTTCTCAGTTACTTACTCATTCACTTGATCATTTGTTGGGGCAAAGAACAGATGCCAAAATTTTAATCTGAGGAAATTATACCTATTGACCCAGTTTTTTCCCTGAGAATTAGGAAAGTTCGCGAATAAATCATTTTAGTAGCACACTTCAGCTCAGTTCATGGAACAGAGACTGAGATCCACTCTAACTTATACATAATTTCAATTGAAGATTAATGATCCATCCAAATTGGAGCAAACTCATAACCTTTAGTCTCATTTATACTGCAGTCAACTGATATTTTGTTTTTTAAACTTAAGTACTAAGGTATCACTCTGTCAATAAGAGAAAGTGAAAGCTGAATTTCACTAGTATGAATACACTCCACATGTCTGGATATATTCTAGCGGAGGCTCTGATACTCTCCATTTGTCCAGATAACAACGGCTGTCGTCAAGGCAAAAAACTTTACTTATGCTCACAAATGAATTATTTTGTAAAACCAGTTCTAGTGAAACCATCAGAAATTTGGGAGCTACTTATGAATTTCTAGCTCAAGGGGCGCCTGGGTGGCTCAGTCGGTTAACGGTCTGCCTTCGGCTCGGGTCATGATCCTGGGGTCGTGGGATCGAGCCCCGCGTCGGGCTCCCCGCTCAGCGGGGAGCCTGCTTCTCCCTCTCTCTCTGCCCCTCCTCCTGCTCGTACTCTCTCTCTCAAATAAATAAAATCTTAAAAAATAAATTTCTAGCTCAAAATGAATACACACTCTACTAATTCTCTGGTCATTGATTGTTCTGCCCTCCTGAGTGTGGAATCTGTTCTTGTTGGCACGGTTTTCCTGTAAGACCACAAGTCAAAAGAGTACTTACATATTAAAGGTGGAGATGGAATTTCAAAGGCTAACACAGCTGATACTGTAGTAGACTGTGGAGAAACAGAAGTTGAGGACACTGGGCGGCCAGCAAAGCCTAAAGGTTTCACAGCTCCCACGGAGGTCCCACTCCCAACAGAAGCAAGGGTGCAGTCTCTCTGGCCTGGGACACAGATGGCTCACATAGAAATACCACCATGGTCTTGGCTTAGCTGACAGTGTCTGAGCTAATTGGCCACTAACTATATTTAGAAGTAAAAATTACCTGAAATTTATCCCAAAACTGGAAGAAAAAAAGTTTAAGAAAGGAGTACTGGCTGCTCCTCAAATGGCTTAACAACTACAAATCTTTCTGTGTTCGGATTTCCCAATACAGTTGACCCTTGAACAACATGGGGTTTGAACAGTGCAAATCCACTTCTTTGTGAAAAAAAAAATTTTTTTTCTTTTTAAAATCTTATTTGTTTATTTGACAGAGACACAGCGAGAGAGGGAACACAATCAGGGGGAGTGGGAGAGGGAGAAGCAGGCTTCCCGCCGAGCAAGGAGCCCGACGCGGGGCTTGATCCCTGGACTCTGGGACCATGACCTGAGCCGAAGGCAGATGCTTAACAGCTGAGCCACCCAGGTGCTCCGAAATTTTTTTAATACAGTACAGCACTATAGATGTATTTTCTCTTCCTTATGAATTTCTTAATAACATCTTCTGTAGCTTTACATTATTGTAAGAATACAGCGTATAATACAGGTAACATACAAACTTTGTGTTAACCATTTATTTTGTTTCAAAGGCTTCTGGTCAACAATAGGCCGTTAATAGTTAAGTTTCTAAGGAGTCCAAAGTTGTCTGTAGAATTTTGACTGCACGGGGGGGTTCAAGGGTGTGTAAAAATATCAGGAAAATTATTAGACATCTAGTAAATATCCTGTTCCAGGCCCTGAGGATACAGCAAAAAACAAAAACAGGTTTCTGCCCTCATATGTGCTTATATTCTAATGAAGAAATCTCCAGGAAATAACAAGTTAACAAATCAATGCCAGCACCTTGGAGGAAATAAAGCAGTTTGTAAGCGGCAGGGAGTGCTTCAGGTGGTGCAAGGTGCGGGGGGGGGATGCCAGGCAGCAATGGGGAGCGTGCACTGGCAAAGGGCAAGCACAAACCTGGGGGAGAAAAGCAGTGGGTGTGCAGAGGACCAGCGCGGTGCCTAGTGTGGCTGTGCGGGGGGGGGAGTGGGGCAGGGGCAGAAGGGAGGTCAGACGGGCCGCTAGAACATGTAACAGAGGGCATCCGAGCCACTGCTGAGACTTGGGCAAGAACTCTCAGGGAGATGGAAAGCAGGAATGCCGTGGTCCAAGTTACCATTTTAAAGGCTCACACCAGCGGCTTGCTACATGGAGAAAAGCTCACAAATAAATGCTTTTAAAAAAAGCAGATTTAATGCTGCTACAAGTAATTGGTGGACATGAGAGAAAACACCAGTTAAGGGGCTACTGCAATGACCCAGAGGATACTGGGGGCCTGGAGCAGCACAGGTGGTGAGAAGTAGCTGGTTTCGAGAGCTCTTCTGAAGGTTCGAGGACAGACAGGGTCTGTGAAAGAAAGAGGACTCTAACATGCCTCCGAACCGAAGGACACCTTTTACAGGGTGGCCAAGACCACAGGAAGCTCAGGTTTTGGCAGGGGTTGGGGTGCAGGAGCTTGGTTTCGGTCGCGTGTGAGATG